CTGACATGACGTACTTTATCTTGGCGTAACAAATCTCGACAGTTATTGTAATATATGAGAATGAAGAATTTTAATGCAACATATAAAGGAAAGAAGTGGGTTATCATTTTGTTTTATTGAAGCAACTTAATAGATATTTACTTGTAAAATTGAAATTCAGATTTTACAACAAAACGCAATAAACTATTAACAATAGTAACTAGTTATGTTATAACGTCTAAACACTGTGAAGAAGCGATCATCTTCAAAATTCAAAGCAAACTTAAGATATGATATTTTACAACTCTTTAACTCTTTTATTATGATGTCCTTTCCTCTGTTTTTAATTCGATAAAAATTTTCTTAAGAGTATTGTTTTAATTGAAAGGATACAAATATTTTTGCGATTACTTTTACGATTATTTTTACTCATTTTATATATATATGTGTGTGTGTGTGTGTGTGTGTGTGTGTGTGGGTGTGTGCAGCGACATGGGTTGGAGGAGCCTTCGTTAATGGAACCGCCGAGGCCATGTTTACGAGGGGTTTAGCTTGGTGTCAAGTACCCATCGGATACAGCCTTAGTCTGATTTTCGGTACGTCGGAAATATTTAATATACTTAGAAAATGGAAATATTTAATATACTTCGAAAATGTTGCAATTAATGATTGCAAAATTAGATCTGGTTCTATTTTTAACAATGAATCCAAGGAACACATAAAAATCAAATAAAAAATCAAAATGCCTTTATTTTGATTTTTAACATCAATAAATAGTCAAATTTTGTAATAAAAATTCATCATTTGACTTTCATGACGTCAAAATGAAGTCATTTTGACTTTCTTTTGACTTAATGTGTTCCTTGAGTTCTTGAGTAACGAAATCGCAAACAAATCGAAACTAATAACTGTCTTTAATTATTCATATCTTCTATGTCATTGATTTTCTTGTTAATTAATGTCGCATCCAATAATAAATTTATATTGTAGGTGCCATGCTCTTCGTGCGTCCGATGAGGAAGGCCGAGTATGTAACGATGCTGGATCCCTTTCAAGAACGATATGGCGCGGGCATCGGGGGCTTGCTCTTCCTTCCGGCGCTGTGTGGTGATCTATTCTGGTGCGGCGCCGTTCTAAGAGCTCTAGGAAGCTCGCTCGCCGTCGTCGCAGGCGTTGATCCGAACATCAGTGTTTGCGCGTCCGCACTCTTGGCGGCCATGTAAGGATAACGGAAGCAGTCACGCTCGATATACGAGAGCTGTTTCTAAAGTTTCTAAAGAATTGTCTGTACAATCGAATTGAAATTGAAAACATACATTGTGGTTTTTCAATATAGTTCCCATTTAACTTGAACACACTTTATCCCAACTCGGAACCATTTTTCTCTCTAGACCTTCTTCAAAAAATTTTTAAGGAGTATCTTTTATCCATCGATTTATGACTCGCGTGATTCTTAGAACTTTGGAAACACATATTCTTTGTACATAATCTTGTGAGACACGAGCAAGGTAAGAAATGCGAAGTGTACTTTCAGATATACAGTCTTCGGCGGATTGTATTCCGTGGCGTGCACCGACGCCCTCCAACTGCTGTGCATTCTGCTGGGTTTAGTAATAGCTGCACCGTTCTCCATGGTACATCCTGCGGTATCATTTGAGAATCATCTGACCCCGAGGGACTGGCTGGGACACGTGAAGAATGAGGACATGGGCGAATGGATGGACGGCATGCTGTTGCTGGTGTTCGGTGGTATACCTTGGCAGGTAATTTGATTCTTCAGATGACAGTAAAGTTTAAATCACATCTGCAAGATTATTTATTTGATAAATTCGAAATAGAACGAATTGTACCTTAAAATCTTGTAATTCTATTATAAAAAAGAACGTGCCGTTTTAAGAAAATTACTAACGAATTGATCTTCTTTGTTATTTATTTTACTCATTTGTTGGAACGTAATAATTTAATGCCGCAGCAAGTTTATATTATTAACACGTTTTTAGGCATTCTACTTTTTCTTTAAACTTTATACCCCTTATAAAAATTTAATACTAGTACTGGTTAATTAATTACTTATTTTAAAGTATTATTAATACTTTTAATACCGAAAATATGTGATTAATTGGCTAGTACTAGTATTAAATTTTTACAAGGAATTTTTAACGAATCCTAAATATTAAGAATCTTACAATACCTTTACGAAAGATAAGTTTTAAGAAGGTTATTAAAGAATTTATTTTATTTATTTTATTTATTTGTTAGGAAGTAATAATTTAGTAAAATAATCAGTTAAAGGGCTCAGAGCACAAGCAAGATATTCTTTGCTATTATTATAAATTACTAAACATTATATTTAATTAAAATACAGACCTTCTTGTCATTTTCAATGTTACAAATACAGTTAAAACAATTATAATGACATGAAAATTCTAGAAAATTCTAAAAATTCTAAAAAAGTCTAGCGCTTAATTATAATCTTGCTTGTGCTCTGAGCTCTTTAACTGATTATTTTAATTTATTTAATCGAGCATTGAATTACTTTTTATATAATAATAAAAGTATCGTATCACACACAAATTTAATATCATTAACACCTTTTGAATTATACAATCTTTTTCTTCAGGGTTATTTTCAACGAATTCTAAGTATTAAGAGTACTTCTGTTGCAACGACTCTATCAATTGCCTCGATGTTCGGTTGCTTGATACTCGCAGTACCATCAGCTTTAATTGGGGTAGTTGCTCGTGCCACCGATTGGTCCTCGGTACCAGGTTATAACAGAACGTTCACCACGGAGGATGGAAACGCCGCAATGCCGATGGTCCTGCGATATCTCACGCCTCAATGGGTATCTTTTGTTGGTAGGTTTACCATATATCCTAAAATTATTTCTCTCCAGTTATAAGAGGATTATTCGATTTTATTTTTTACAATTGTATCAATCTCGCTAAAGGTCTCGGTGCGATCTCAGCGGCAGTAATGTCCTCGGCAGACTCCAGTATACTCGCCAGTAGCTCTATGTTTACTAGGAATGTTTACAAACTCACGATACGACCAAAAGTAAGCGTAACTTACGCCGATTAATCAATGGCACCAATAAACATCATTGAAGCTTCTCCTTCGTTACAGGCGTCCGAACGTGAGCTAAATTGGGTCTTAAGAATTGCCGTAATCGCGGTTTCCATACTGTCTACTCTCGTCGCTCTTACGGTCAGCAGTGTCTACTATCTTTCGTAAGTAAACCTATTTTTCTTTATTTTTTTACAACAGACATTTGCTCATTCCTATAAGTCTTGACAATTATTACAATGTATTTAAAAAAAAATTCTCTTTAAGCCGACAATAATAATTGATAGAAAACATGAGCTGTATCTTTTTTTCAGTTAACGACTTTACTTTTTTCTTAACATCGACTTTCTATTTCTATCTCAAGCCTTTTTACATTTTTTCACGTTTCTTCGCCAAATTAATTAGCTTGCCATTCATTGAATAGATTTAATGTAACAACGATCAATGTATAAAAATATGTCGCATTTTTGTTCGAAGGTACTTGTGCGCCGATCTTGTCTATGTTGTTCTGTTCCCACAACTATTAGCCGTTATCCATTGGCCTACTATGGTGGATACTTACGGCTGTTTGGCGGGATATTTTATCGCTATCGTCTTGCGTCTCGGTGGTTAGTGACAACTTCTAATTATTAAATAATTACTCAAACAATATAAATAAGATTATCACACGATATTTAAAGACTTTTCTTTATGTTCTGTTATTCAAACGTGGTAATTTCAAAATGTGGTAATTTCTTTTATATATTTTTAGCTACATTTCAGATTTTTATTACTCTATTAGTTTAAAAGACTGGGAAACCTTTTTAGTATTTATAGCAGCCTTATTGTTTCTTTTGCAAATTAAAAAAATTTTTATGATTTATATCTTGTAAGTATTGAAAAATAAAATCTTTTTATATAACAATTTAAAATATCATCTAAAAATTTAGAATTTTATAAGTAAGTTTAAGCTCAAACACGTAAATGTTTCCAGGTGGTGAAAGAGGACTTGGCATACTTCCGTTGATCGAATATCCGTTCTACGATAAGAAAACGCGCACCCAGAAGTTTCCCTTTCGCACTGCCGTCATGATGATAGCCCTCTTCACTCAACTCTTCACTAGTTTTCTCACCAGAACTCTACTTGGCAAAGGATACTTTCCACAATGTTGCGACGTACTGAACATATACTCTCCCAAAAAGTCCAAGGAGCCGGGCGTCATGCAGAGCAGCTCCGGCGCCACTCTCATGGATTCATCCTCAGTAATTATAAATCATAAATTAAGTATCGTTTGTTTGGCGTACTAGGTCGATCGATAACGCACCCGATCTCTTACAGAAATCAACATCGGGTATAGATTCCTGCGATGGCGTCGGCACATGCGTTTACGACGACGAAAGAACCTGCGGCCACGAGGACGCGGTCGATCGTGGCGATGATAACGCGATGACCAGCAACGATCTTGCCGAGCTGTCGAAGGCAAAGAGCATCGGGACGTCGGTTGTGCAACGAGCGAACCAGAATCTACAAAATCTGCGTAGCGCGATGCCGACGCCGGCGCGACACGTCTCCATGGCGAGCCCGGTGTACACGCCGATACAGAACGATGCATGCAGAGAACAGATTCTTGCAGTGAGGAATCTGCGGAGTCCTCTTGGTCCCCAGGGCGGAGTACTCTCGCCCACCCGGTCGATCGGTATTCCAGCGACTCCGATCACTCCGTGTGCTCCTTCTTACGCCAAAGTGGGCTGCGAGCTCGGGCCCAGCAACGAGAAGCCACGGAACAACGACAGGATGAGCATTGTCGAGAGAAGCAACATGGAGTACAATTTAAACGCTCAAGAGAACCCACCCGCCAGCGTAGGTCCTAGGAAGAGTGTGAAGGGCGTGAAGCTCGTCGGTATGGAGGGTGGCACGTTACGGAGACCGTCGCTGCAGGTGAGGGATGACGACTTCGACGTATCGTCGTCTTTATAAAGCCCGGGACAAGTCGGGCCATCGTTTCATTTTTGCGCGCATTTTATTTTGTATCTTCAGTTATTTGTATGAGTTAGTTTATTAAATTCTATATACTGGTTTTACTTATGTGTATGTTTTTTTATTTATCAGCGGTACGATTGTTCGTAATAAAGATGACGAGGTCCCGGGGAAGTCCTTAGAGAGGATGCCTCGCGAAGTCTCGAATATCTCCTAGTATTTCCTATCCGTAGCTTCTTCCTTTGATTTTAATACGCTGACTCTTTAATGTTAATACGCTGATGAATTCTGTTTTTGTTAATTTATCGTTTTTCTCCGTGTATCGCAGGTTTTCGTTGAAATAAAAAATTTATTAGCAAATGCAATGTAGAGGAAAGGAAAGGATTGAAATACTATTTTATTTTATTGAAATAACTGCTTTCATTATAAAGTTTGTTAATCATAGAATATCAATATAAGTAGAGATCATAGAATATTAACATAAGATATAAATATAAGTAGAGATTCTTCGAGTAAAATGCTAAACTGAAATGCAACTCATGCAGTAAACATTAATGGCCATGTTATAACGTCTAAACAGACTAACAGTAATAAGTAATTTTAACGGTCACCCTTAGAATGCATCGCAAACTGTAATACAACATATCATGATATTTCACAGCCCCCATCTATTCCATAATCGTCTCCTTTCCTCTACATGATTCTGAAACATTTTATTATCATTTGGCAGAAGATATAAAAAATTATTATTTGCTTGTCTGGATTGCTTAATTGAATTTTACGCATATATTATTTTTATGCATATGTTTGGTTACCTGTTAGTAGCGCAATTGCTCATCAATAAAAATAGTGAAGATCCGGAGGATCCTCGCAGTATGAGGACCCTGAAAAAATTGAGGGTCCTCAGAGAGATCCTGTGCGATCTCGCAATCTTGGCGTTGGCTGTTGGAGTATGTATTGAAGTAGATTTCCCATAGCTTCCCATACATAGCTCCCATGAGACGACATTTTGTGCCGCGTGTCCTCAGAGCACATTCTCACCGACACCGTCGGTGGAACTAGTCAACATTCTGGACAGAAGACAGAGCAGCAGCTCGTACGGACCAGGTTCTCTATCCCCCGTGCCGTCGATGGGGGTAGAGGCATGCAAAACCCATGGGACCGCGGTTGAAGGACAGAGCGGGCCTGATCATTGCAAGATAAAGAGGGGCATTGTGCGACATCACAGGTATCTATGAGAAAACGCGAGGAATACAAATTAGATAAAAAGATTTCAGAATCTTTTCTTCTTGACACATAATATCTTATAAAAATCTACGTACCTTAATGTTACAAGTAACAAAAAAACTATACATTATTAAAAATTAGATACAGAAATTTCAAAATCTTTCGTTCTTAAATTTACATCTTTACAAAATATATTTTTGAATTTAACTTTGCTTACAACAAATTACAGAATAACAATTATGCACGAAATGACAATGAAAATAAATATTATCCTCTGAAAAATTTTTTCTTTTCACTTTAGTGATCTATTTCGTAAGATTTGTGAATTTCTTTTAAATTCAACTAAATTCGATTTTACATATATCAATAAATCAAAAAGAATAATATATACAGTATAATGAAAATTATGTATATACAATATAAGATGAAATGAAAATATTATAATCCTTTATAATGGGGTGCTGTTGAAAATAATATCTTATAATGAATTCTCTCTCTTAAAAGAGAGTTTAATATTCGCTGTAAAAGATCCGATTATTGAACACTCTCTCTGGTTATGTTTCTCAAACGTTTGCGCAGCTTCAATGACACAGGCGACCGAGTGGCATTGACAACGCTCGCCAGACAGCCGAATTATCCATCGATGCCACTAAGGCCGGATGATTGCCGTATGACATTAGCAAGAAAGGACAAGCGCCTAGCAACAATAGGTAGGCACTCGTCGATGACGAACGAAACGGAGCTCAGCAACACGAGCAGCCTGATTGTCAGTCCCACCTTCAGCATGTACAGTTCTGCTGCGAAAAGTTCTAATTATTTCGTCACCGATGACGAAGCCGTCAGCAGGTTCTAAAATGGGGTTTCGTAACTATAATAGAATCTCCAGAACCGAAAACGATATTTATGGATTTTATGAAGTTAAAATTGACACGTTCAGCTGGTGCAAAATATCGTTCCGTAGTTTTCGTAGTTTTTCCATTCATCAATTTATATATCTTTTTTTAGATGGGAGATAGAGAATAAAATTAAAAGCATGAGGTTTTGTATAAAATGGGCATTGAAAAATTTTTTCCTGAATAGGAAGAATAAGAACAACGATGGCTGCTTTGATTAATCCAGAAATAGTCACCTGGAGTATTTTTATATTTCTATTCTTTACAATCTTTTTAGATATAAAATTCCATTGAAAATCTGCAATACAAAAAACTTTATATCAACTTTTACTTTTTAGAACTTTTATTTTTTAGAATTTTTATTTTTTACTGACATAACAAGCTACTTAACATGTTTAACATTTGTTAAATATCTACTTAATTTTTTCCGGAAAATTGTGAGTAAATATATTCTAAAATATCAATAAATAGTTAATAATATGCAATATATTGTAATAGTAATTTTAATTAGCATGTAAAAACATCCAGGTGACCGTTTACGTAAAAAAAATTAAATAAATAAATTGATTGACTCTTGAATTAAGAATACTGAGTATAACTTCATTTGCGACATTGTGTTTGTTGTATAAAACAAATCTCTTGCATCAGCTATTCCACTGTTACGTCCCTGTTCTAAGGCATACTTGGAGAACACGAAACAATAAGGACAATCATAAGACCCGCCCCGTCACTCTCTTGGCGTACTCAATTCTGTAATTCTGTTTGTTGTACGATGGATTCTATCTAGAACTGTCACAAATTTACATATACGGAAAAGAGAGAGATATATATGTGTATATTGAGAGACTGAAGTTTCTCAATCGATGAAATGTATGCTGGCTCGTTAGTTAATAGAATTTATACTGAGCGTTTTGTATTACGGACTAGAAACTACGTGAATTACACACTTATATATTTGTGATAATTTACGTGTTATAATCTCCGTTACTGCTACGTTATCGCATTCCATTCTATTTTTATTTCAATAATTCGAGTAACATTTATAGATATTACTCATGAAGAACCAAGTGGATGAAGGAAATATTTTATGAAAGGTACTTCATAAAAGTAAGTTAGAATTGATGTTAGAATTAATATCAGAATTGGATAATATGACAATGTCCAGATATGAAGCTAATCGATCTTAGAAGTAGAAATGTATTAAAGTAATTCTTGATATAAACGCGTGTATATTTATATATTCTTCATTCATTTGTTTCTTCTGAATAACTTTTGGATAAAAAGAACATAAATGTAACATTTTTTGTCGCAATTGAGTAGAATTACACAACGAATTATTAACACTTTAATTGGTGTAATTACAATTTAATATTTTTGGAAATAAATTTTTTTTTTAATTTGTTTTAATTTATTTAGGTTCTATTATATCTGTATGTTGTGTGCCGCAGTATATATATTTCTTGTCGAGCGTGTCTTGTGATGTTTGTTGTATTTTTTATGTATACAGAAGCATAGTACTAAACTAAACTCGTTTCTTTCTCACGAGCAAGATAATTTCTTGTTATGCTACTTTAAACCGTGTTAAAAATGCTTAAATAATTAGACATTTGTATACTATATATAAAATGTGAAATTAGAAACAGCGTTTAGGATAGTTCATAAGATCCACTTACCAATCTTCAGACTGACAACTATATATGGAACCAATAATTTGTAGGTAACGTAACCAACTTTTGTAAAGTCTCCTATTTCGCAACATTCCACTTGAATTTAAAATAAGACGAAACCAACAGCAGGCAATCTCTTGTTTTGTTGAAAAACCAAGAGGCCTGACTGATTCGTATAATAAGTATTAAATATTATAATTTTTTGTAAACACACACATACATACACACACAAACACACACGCGCGCGCGCGCGCGCGTATACACATACTTGATGTATATATGTAGGTATACACAATTTAGAAGGATTTTGATGCAACATTTATAACAATTTTAGATTTTTAATATGACCCAGTTAATTAATAGTCATTAAATAATAATAACTTGAGGATAGACAACACTTGTATTAGAATATCTTAACAAATTTTATAATGTCGAAGACGAGAGAACTGAAAACTCGAATGATTCTCTTACAATATATAAGCCCGCGTACAAAACTTAATCAATAGAAATTGATCAAAAAATCTCTTTGAGTAAAAACATAAACAATCATAAAATTTGAAGCATTCTGTAAAATAATGACAGCATGAATGTCTAACCAACAGCTGAATAATTAGCAAAATAATTCTAACAATAACCGTACATAATCTTTATATATATTGCTTTAATAAATTATTTTTGACGTGAATTGATTGAAACATTTATATTCTCTGTTAACATAATTGAACACATGTATTCATGTGTCTTTTGAATCTATAGAAAGTATACTTTCCATTTCTCTTGCCTCTGACATTACATAGCTCGGCATCATGTTAAAAAGATCATGCGATAACGCCGAATGATAACCGCAAATGAATGCATTTACTATTCCTCTTTAGTTTAGTTTTAGAGGAAGAAAGAAGAGATATGAAATATATGTGGTCGTGAGAGAAACGACGCTGCAAGCTGTGTCACAATCGGCAGAGCTTACATCGTTGCTAACAACGGAACGTCCAAAGAGTGTAACATGCAAATTTATGATATGCCAACAAGAAAGTACGATATTTTTCCACCGATGCGATATATCCTAGCTCCGTAGTAATTATATAGCACAATACACAATTATATAATATTGTATAAGTATAGTTATAAACGTGGATTATTCTCTTGCGATTAATCCACGTTACTAGTGAGGAATGTCTTTCTCAAGCTCAATAATATATATAATTATATATGTAGAAGGAGTGAATACAAATGATAGAGATAATCATCAGATATAAATAGCGGGACACTTTTATATTGCGCAAAGGAACTTTATAGATAACAAAAATATCTTTTTCATTGCTCGTTGGAAAATATGATACTATATGAATTTATGCGCGATGTGAAGATTTACTTATCGTTATGTTATTTCCATTAATTTAAAGGATAGATTATTGTAGGTGAAACAGTCGAATAATCAGCAAAATCTCTATTTATACATATAATTGCAGTTTAGTTAATATTTACCCGGGAAAAAGTGTTTCACATTTATAATTAAATATAATTATATAAAATTATATATAATTATACATATATAAAATTGATATATTTTATGTATATAAAATATATCCAAATATATAACATTTTTTCCCGGGTATTCAATTAATGAAAATAATGTTAACATAAAGTCAAAAAACATGTGGAAAATAACATGTTTCAATATCGTTTCTAAATGTTGTTCTCAAATGTTGTACAATCGTTAATTTCACACTTTTCCATTGTAAATAAGCATTAAATCTTAGGGACAAATCGTAGCTACTTGAAATGAGTGAGATTTCATACTCGAATTCCATCTTTAGACTCTCTACACACTTTTGTAAGACGTGCACGAGAAAAATAGCGGAGAGACGAACATCGAATACCTGCATCAGTATTATTAAATTTAAGAAGACGAGTATTCGAGACTTAATCGACTCGTGAAGAACTGAAAGAAAGTACTTCATAGCATAGTACTTAACCTTTTAAGGTAGAATAATTTGTGATTCGATGATCGCACGATACGTGTTCTTATTTTCTATTATTCTACCACTTACAAGAACATTTAACTCTAGTCCGAACATAAATATTAATAGAATATTAATAGAATA